TTGGTGACACAAAAAAACCCCTGCCTTTAGCTCATACAACCACCTCAAAACCTCATGACATGCAGAAGTGATCCAACACAGACTATTGCTGCAGATTCACATTTGTTTGAAAATGTTGCATTTTGCTTTATATCAGCAGGCTTCATGCTGGGTAAAGAATCATTTCTTCACCAGCAACTATCAAAAAAACTAGTCAGAGCTTTTTTCCTCCTGTCCTGTCTAGTTGACAAGCAGGTTGAGTACTGGACCGTTTCTGGTAAGACCATGCTACTGAATGTGTGCACGACCAAACTCCTCACCTGAACAATCACAAAGCTACACCCTGGGGCTGGAGTTTCCTTAATTGCTTCCCCAACTTGTTTCCCTAGAGCCCCCTCTTAAATTAGATGAATACAAGAACTACAAAGTTTTAATAGTCACCACCATACAACAGGTATCTCAATCTCCAAGTCATCATTCGTACCCGTAATACCAAGCACTTAAGATGGCAATTTCTCATCCTTTCTTGAGGACCAAGAAAAATATGCATCACTGGTGTTGTACCAATGTATTTACTGGTCCAGATGCAGTCAAAAGTTTTCACCTCACACATGCAACCGTGCTTCGGAAGACTGAAAATACATAGTTTCTTAATCCTAGCTTCTCGTCAGCATGGGATGTAGGCAAACTGCCAGGAAATCTGCGTACCTGTTGTTCAGCTCCATTACTGTCATTCAAACATCTTCCACTGGAGAAGGGGAAGCTACAAATCGTCAGCAAACCAAGCAGCTGGACCTCATGTCTGCATTTGAGCTCTAAGTTTAAGCCTTTTACCACATTCCCAACCTAAATATACGAAAGCATTTGCTCCGTTTATATGACATCGCATATGTACACATACACAATGATGCACTGCAGAAATAATTACTCCTAATACAGCATAGCTAAGGACAGCCACCAGGTGTATGAGAACATGATCCTCACCAATGAATAGTACAAACCAAGAAACTACCCAAGCCGACTTCTAGGAAACGGCAAGGACTCCATGTAGCACAAGAGCCTCCAGGCACTCAGGGTGCTCAGACAATACCCCTGTCCTAGGGGTGGGCCTCCACGCTAGGCCAGCTCTTTGCCATGACAGCCAGCGAACCACTCCACCAGGCCAGCCTGGTGGTTCAAGCACTCTCCTGAAAGACAAAAACATAACAGCTCAAAACTGATTGCTCCAGATTATGTAAAGTCATAAAATCATAGAATCGCTGAGGTTGGAAGGGACCTTTAAGATCATCAAGTCCAATCATCAACCTATCCTGACAAAACCACCTCTAAACCATGTCCCTAAGCACCACATCTACCCTTTTTTTAAACACCTCCAGGGATAGAGAATCCACCACCTCCCTGGGCAGCCTATTCCAATGTTTAATAACCCCTTCAGTGAAAAAATGTTTCCTAATATCCAATCTAAACCTCCCCTGACATAACTTGAATCCATTTCCTCTTGTCCTATCACTTGTCACCAGGGAGAAGAGGTCAGCCCCCACCTCTCTACAACCTCCTTTCAGGTAGTTGTAGAGGGTGATAAGGTGTCCCCTCAGCATCCTGTTCCCCAGGCTAAACAACCCCCGTTCCCTCAGTCGTTCCTCATAGGGCGAAAACAAGGTGACTGTGAGCCACGCTGCCTGCAAGGTGCATTGCCTGCAAAGGGCAGTGGAGGAACCATGAGTAGCTCTGCCATTGTCTAGCATGAAGGAGGGGCATCCTGTGACATCTCCATTTACCTTTCCACGTTATCAAGCTTCAGGGACTGAAATAACAAATAATTCACAATAACATTTTCCACAATAACGATCTTAAGCTGTTTGTCCTTTCTGTTCTCTTTTCAGTGGTGCTTCTCTGGTGAGTGCATTACAGTAGGCAAAACTCCCGAAGAAATCCATGGCAGATGGGGTGTTTGGTCATCGTGGTCCCATTGCACAAGGACATGTGGGGCAGGAGTTGAGAGCGCAGAGAGACCATGCAATAACCCAGAGTAAGCTCGGTGCTGGGTGACAGACCCCTCAACAGCTTTGTAGCCCTTCTCGGGACATGCTCCAACACCTCAGTGTCCTTTTCGTACTGAGGGGCCCAAAACTGAACACAGTACTCGAGGTGGGGCCCCACCAGTGCCAAGTACAGGGGGATGATCACTTCCCTAGTCCTGCTCACCACACTATTCCTGATACAGGCCAGGATGCTGTTGGCCTTCTTGGACACCTGGGCACACTGCTGGCTCATATTCAGTCGGCTGTCCACCATCATCCCCAGGTCCTTTTCTGCTGAGCAGCTTTTGAGCCACTCTGCCCAAAGCCTGTAGCGCTGCATGGGGTTGTTGTGACCCAAGTGCAGGATCCAGCACTTGGCCTTGTTGAACCTCATACCGTTGGCCTCAGCCCATCGGTCCAGCCTGTCCAGATCCCTCTGCAGAGCCTTCCTACCCTCAAGCAGATCAATACACCCGCCTAGCTTAGTGTCATATATGAACTTACTGAGGGTGCATTCGATCCCCTCGTCCAGATCGTTAATAAAGATATTGAAGAGAACAGGCTGGCCCCTGCACCGAGCCCCGGGGGACACCACTTGTGACTGGACACCAACTGGATTTAACTCCATTTACCACCACTCTCTGGGCACGGCCATCCAGCCAGTTTTTTTACCCAACGAAGAGTACACCTGTCGGGGCCATGAGCAGCCAGTTTCTCCAGGAGAATGCTGTGGGAAACAGTGTCAAAAGCTTTGCTAAAATCCAGATAGATAACATCCACAGCTTTTCCCTCATCCACTAAGTGGGTCACCTGATCATAGAAGGAGATCAGGTTGGTCAGGCATGACCTGCCTTTCGTAAACCCATGCTGACTGGGCCTGATCACCCTGTTCTCCTGCATGTGCTGTGTAACAGCACCGAGGATGACCTGTTCCATGACCTTCCCAGGCACTGAGGTCAGACTGACCAGCCTGTAGTTCCCTGGATCCTCCTTCTGGCTCTTCTTGTGGATGGGTGTCACATTTGCCTACCTCCAGTCAGCTGGGACCTCCCCAGTTAGCCAGGACTGCTCATAAATGATGCAAAGGGGCCTGGTTAGCACTTCCACCAGCTCCCTCAGTACCCTCAGGTGGATCCCATCTGGTCCCATAGATTTGTGTATCTCCAGGTGCTGAAGCAGGTCCCTCACCATTTCCCTTTGGATTACAGGGGCTTCATTTTGCTCCCCATCCCCATCTTCTAGCTCAGGGGTCTGGGTACTCAGGGAACAACTGGTCCATTTATCTCAGCAGACACTCTAATAAAAAGGTTAATGCACCTGAGGGGGTAAAATTCCTCGTCAAACCCAAACATACCCACCTACCACCTTCTCCTTTGTCCAAGACCCAGCGAAATCCAGGAGCACTCAATTGATTTGGTGATACCCAAACACGATGCTTCAGATCACTGGTATGTGGATATTGGACAAAAGGGGCTGAACTGCTACATGAGACGATAATCTCTTTGGACGCAACACTGCATTCTTACATGATGTAACTGCACACGTAGTAGAAACTACTTCACATTTTTTTCACACCCAGGCAGCTCCTGCCAGAATTGAGACTTTTAACCGAAACAGACAATACCACCCTTGACACTTAACAATTTTTGTCCAAAGAGACCTTTGACAAGGCAGAAGCTTCTTTACTTAGAAGTAATCACCAAAAGAAATCAGACCCTCTAGGTGAAGGACTGGCTTTGTACTAATGCCAGCACTGCTCTATGCTTAAGGAGACACTTCCAAACAGAAGGATTATGAAAATCCAGGTGATATCCTACAGCACAAGACAGACTCGTGGCCTCTGGGACACACAAAAAGGACAAGACTGCAATTTTGAGCAGACATAAGCAAGTTCTGCTTCACTGCTGAATACCTGCTATTCTCAAAACAAACTACATCTCACTGTCTTACACATCAGTGCAACTAAAATTTGACTGCAAAATTTTTAAGTGTCCAGATACTCCAAAGAGGACAGCTGTATAAAGAGACCTAGAAAACTATTTATGGTTCATGGGCTAATTCTGAATACTTTTAATGGATTGTACAGATTTCTACATCTGGTTTTATGAAGTACATTATATTCCATATAGACATGATGCCATCTGGTAGATAAATGCGTATCTTCTGCCCTGTGATGAAGCAACAAGTGATCCCATAAGGCTCTTACTGCTAACTTTTCAAAAAGGTATATTTCTTGGCTAATTGCAACATGAAAGAGTTCTTGTTGAAAGAAGTAGAATGCACTCCAAGTTTTGCATATATGGCTCTCAAGTCATTTTCACAGACACACTAGGATCATATTGCAATAGAAGGATCTTCCAATAACACAAAGTTGACTGATATATTTTACTTTTACTTTCCAGTGTATAAAATCTATTTTTGCACATCTTCCTATAGAAATATGCCACAAGAAGTAATGGATTAGAAGCTAGGCAGAATCCCTATCATATAAACTGAAGGTAAAGGGTAAAACCAGAGGTGGTGAAGTCTCAACTAAAACCTTTCATATACGGCAAGAATTTTGCTACATTCCCTTTCCAATAGCCAGGTACACTAAGTTAGTTACATCAACTAACAGACCTTTTAAAAAGTTAAAAAAAAAAAAAAAAGGGCAAACACAACACAAAAGAAACAAACAAAAAAGCAAAAAAGTCACATCAACTTTAGTCTGTGCACTTCCACCTGAAGAAGAAAGCCTGAACACAGTAGGCAAAAAGAAAATCCCGTTTCAAGGAAAATACCATCTCCAATATTCATATATCATGCATTAGAGAAGCTTAGGCATATTGTAAATGCATTATCTGCTGCAAGCAGGATGTTTTCATATCAGGCTACCTGAAAACCTGAATCTGAACAGAAGCTTAAACCAGGCTTCTTCCATAATCCATTTTACATTTAAAAACAGTCCACAGTTGGATCAGTTCCTTTCAGCAAGGCAAAAGTTACAAGCTAACAACAGCATCATAGTGATGATTCTTCAGTCTTCATCTTTTTTGTTTCTCCATTCGAACCACGTTGCAGATCCTCCTGCCTTTTCTTTTTCTGCTGCTGTAACCTTTCCTCTTTCCTCTGTAGATAGGCGGCCATGTTATCAAATGAGGCCTTGTAGAGACTGTCGTAGTGTCTCTCTACACCAACAAAACCTGCAATTGGGCAAAGCAAGAACACACGTTTTAAATTCCCTTAGCAGTCTCAGCAATTACTTCTTGTACTGTAATTCTAGATAATGGCATTTCAACTCATTTACTGAGTCCTATCTATTAAGTATCAGCATTTACACCATGTAAGTCTGATTTGTATTGGTAAGCATCTGTCCTGCATTCACACAGCCAAGCATAGCCTCCGTTTTTAGGCTAAAAAATTCAGAGGCAAGCACCTGATGTTGAAGCAAAGAGGGCACACAGCTCTCTTTACGTATTGGACACTTGCAGACTTCAAGGCTTCTGTTTTTAAAGTGAGTGTTGTTGCAACTTATTGTTAGACATCCCATCGGAGCTGTTCCTCAAGACCTAAGCACTGCAAAGGGCATATGCTACCTAACTGTGCTTAGCTGACTCATCTCCTAGAGTATTAACTTAAAAAAAGCCCAAAGAAGTAGAATTCAAACAGTGCATACACAGTTCTAAGTATTCACCTTGATAGTGCTGTTGTACCTTCTGTGAACACCGTAATATTCATGACACCATCTCCAAGACTGTTCAGTTTACACGAGTTTAACAGGGGACTAACTACTATTCAAAAAACCCCAATAGGATTGTTTCTGTAGAGAATACGGAATGAGACTAGATGAGCTAGGTCTGTATTTCTAAAAATTGTTAGAGTGGTACCTGACAAAGCCAGTAACCTCTAGTTCTCTTTGTATACCTACCTTTTCCCACTTCCAAAAATTCTTGATCTTAAAGGGCACAAAAATCCAGTATTGCTAGGGTTTGGTCCTGAAGCTAGTGGGCTGCTCCACAGTAATGTACATCCAACATCCCCTTGTTTATTGGTACACAAACAAAACAACTTGCCCCCACTGGTACTCAGCAAAGCACCTGCCTTTCCCTTCAAGGGTGCTGTACTTGCATAGCAACCGATTTATTGGCCTTCAGCCCTGGGAGAAATTGCATGCTGTCAGTTTGAATACCCATGCTACTCTGTACTTGATCAGCCTGAACTAAATCTTGTTCTGTCTTTTTCTGAGATCAATTAGAACAGAATGTCAAACTGTTCAACATGTACTTCAAGACTGACCTTAAATCCTACAGATTCATCAATCAGGTGAAACAAGTTTATAAAAAGATTATATGCAGGCATTAAGACTGGGTTTAAACAATATAATGATCACCTTTTTTTAAAGAAGTAACTACCTTTTCAAGCACTAATTATGCACTGGAGTAAGTGCTCATCAAGTGAGCCTCCCCTTACTAATTAACAATAATAGACCCTGTCATCTGAGCAGTCCTCCTTTCCCAGCTGCAGATGCAGCCGGCTACCGTGTATCACAGTAATTTGCTATGCTGGCTAATTACGCTCAGAACCTCTTCCCCTGCCTGCTCTTTTTACTTCTCTGTTGCTCATTTTCACTCAGATCTCATACTTCTAATTATCTGCCTGGCTGTACCTATCAAGTCTGCAACATCTACATGCAGCCAGTCTCCCTTCTAAAGGAGTACCTGAGTTCCTTTTAGATTTCAAAGACTATGCCAACTCAGTAACAGCTGTACTCTAAACCATCCAATACTAGACATTAAGGAGACTTTACATTAGTCTGCAAGTTCCTGCAACTCTTCCACCTACGTGTGTTAATCACCTTTACCTATGACCACCAAGAACAGAACATGAGACCAGCGCGGACTGTAACACCTTTTTCAAGCAAGAAGGTTCCCAGTCTCCCAGCAAAGTACACGAGAGAGATTTCAATTAATCAACTCTCAATACATAATGAGACATCCACTAGCACATGCCACAACACAACCCTTCCCTATCCTGCAGCCATCACTGCCATAATTCCAGCTTTTAAGTAAAGCTGGGTGGTTTTTAAATACAAAATATCCTGAAAACACAGGGTGCTTCTGAACTAGTAAATGACGCATTATTTTTCTGCCAGAGACTGGAGGTGGGGCAGAAATCAAGCACAAAATGAACCAACCCTGATACCAATCAATTTCATCCCTGGGTCACATCCAGGGTCACACCCTCCAGCCCCAGCAAGCTCCATATAATCTGCCTTGCCAAGCTGGACCCAAATTGCCCATCTGTACAGCAAAGCTGCTCCTCCCATGGTATTCCAATTCTTACTATCTCCACTGTACTTCTGATAAGGTATCACGCCCAGGTAAGACAACAAACAACAGTATTTGATATCACAGCATTAAGACAGACTCTAGCAACTCTGTAATAGGGTGTTTAGATACATCCCTGTGATAAGGTGTCCATGTAAAACAGTTATAATGCTGTAATTCAGATTTAAATACCTACATCATTTTGTGGTAACAGTAACCTGAATGCGCTTCACGATACCTTCCATGCCAGATGGAGCGATGTAACTTAGAAAACTGAAATATTAAGCAACTTCCAACAGCCAGCTGAATTGACCTCAACTCTGATTTTGCTTCCCAAGTCTTACACTTTAGCTGTAACAATTGCATTTACTGGGCCTTTCTGACAAGTTTCTCACCTTCAAACACTGTCCAGTTGTCTTGAAGATATTTTGACATTTTCTGTAATCCTTTGTCATCAGTTACAGGCTGGGAAAAGAAGGAACATTGCATGATATTTTGGGAATAATAAACAATTTCATGTTTCACAGCACACGGTAAAATTCAACAGCTCTCAGACGAGTACAGTGAAAGGAGAAGGAGTGTAAGCCTTCCATGATGTCTTTTAGGCTCCTTTTTCCCAGGACTGCTACAGAAACCTGGCCTAAGATCATGTGTTCTGCTGGGGAAGCTTTGCAGCTTGAAGAAAAAGAAAATGGATTCCCACTTACTAATCTTTGAGGAAAAGAAATATCACAAGGAGCGTATAAGGGTCAAAAAAGTTTCATTTAAAACCACTTCACAACTATACCATAATTAGCTGGACACTTAACAAGGACAATAAATTAGTTTCCAGTTGTTTAATAGACTATTATAGAGAACTCGATAGCGCATCCCTCAAATTTGACTCTCTGTTGTCAACAAAAAAAATAATCCCCTAATGCTTCCAGAATGCCTTGTCCCCCGCAAAAGGATCCCTCAGAAGCAGGCACAGAGAAGGCCGTATGGAAAGCATTCCTGAGCAAACCACAAAGGGATTTTGTTGGTTTGTATGTTGTTTTTTTTAAATAATCAAGTGTAGCACACAGAAAGCACAGGCAATGGTTTAATGTACTGAGTGCAACTGCTGACAACCACTCTGCTTGATCCCACTATGCCAGATGTTAGCTTTACCAGAGAAGAGACTGGTATTCATAACAAGCTCTCAGCGTCTTTGTGTTATACACGGGTGACAGAAGTAGAATGAGATGTGTATTTATGAATTTTACTCAGTCTCAAGACATAGAGAAGTTTGCCATTTAGCTTCCAAAGAACATAGTTTACTCCATTTTTGTTATGGCCTCAAGACAACACAACATTAAGAATGTTAGCATAACAAAAGTATCTACCTTCCACTGTCCATCACATGGTCTGTACAATTGAAGAGGAGCTTCACTGTCTTCCTCAAAAATCCATAGATCTCCTGTTTCCTCAAATGCAATGTCCCAAACTTTATGTTTCAAAGAGATTTGCTGTCTGTAAATTAGCTGCTGGGCAATGGCATCAAGCTGAAAGACGTAGACTGTGGGAATACTTTTGAAAGGAAAAACTTAATTACCATTATTACCAAATCCACCTACAGCCATCACTTGTACAGCAAACTACAAACACCCACTCTAATTCCAAACAGAGCCAAAGCAAAGTCATTAGGAATTGCAAAAAATACCCTAATACTTCAAGTGCAGTTTGCTTACACGATCCAAGGCAGAGGCTGCAAATACCTAACTCGTCAAATGGCTTTTCAAGTGTTATATGAAAGAAAAAGCAGTCAACGCTGCCTTTTCTTTAAAAGAAAAGGTAGTAAAGGGAATTTCAGAAGGATTACTAAGGATTTATATAATGAGTGTTGCATCATAGCACACTGGCCTACAGAACTTCACTTGATGGAACACCTAGCTGACACCAGTCAAAATAAAACAGGAAAGGAATTACATGGCGGGGAAGGAAGGAGGGAATGAGGGGGACAGGAAACCTCAACACAGCTGAAGAATAGGACTCTGGCACTGCACTCATACCTCCCATCTGCACTCACTCCTCTAACAGCCACAGCCTCTATGTGCAGAGCTTCCTAACCTCCCTGGGACAGGTCCCCAGTGTGCCAAGCAGGACGCCCCGGCTCCTAAGTTGCCTACAAGGTCCACATGACAGCGCTGTTCAGAAACACAGGGCTGTGGAGCTGGAAATAAAAGCCTGACACAGAGCACAGCATGGCCCCTGGGGTGACACAGGCACAGCCCTCGGCTGACATGGCTTCCCCTTCCAGGGCCAGTTTGGATGCCCATGCAGAAGGTGTGATGGGAAGCAGCTAAGGCTTCTCACTCCGGCAAGAGCAAGTTCACCGAGAAGACAGATTGCCAATCTCACTATACAAGCAGCTCTGGCAATCTCTCCCTTTCCTGTTGGCAAGCTTTTGTCAGGAAGAACAGCTTCCTTGGCAGGCTTAAGGTGCTGTGGAAAGAGAGGGGAAGAGGGCTTGTCCATTCCCACAAGACATTTTCCCGCCAGTTGGATCTGTAAGGTTCCTCGGTGCTTAGGCCCTTCAGTTCCTGAGCACTCTCTCCTTACTCAAACACATACATTTGAACCCAAAAGTCAACATAGCCTCTCCACACTTTTCAACTGAAGCAACGCTGTGGTTTTAAACAGAATGGCTGAACCCATTTACAGGAGCAGAATAGAGTAACAGAAGTTTGGCCGCTCCATCGCCACAGCACCCTGAACGAAATGAGACCCAAAACACATGGGTCAAGCGCAGCGATTTAGGTAGACATCCTCAGCACCAAGCAGGGCTCTCATTCATCCTAGCTTTGCGTTTCCTTCCATAAAGGAAAAACATCACAAAGTCTGCAAAATTTACCTAAGCTGGGTAAACCCTCGCATTCACCTCTACGCTCAGACCAAGGACAATACGGACTCAGAGGCCACCGGCATGCCTGGGATGCTTGGAGATCCACAGTCCCAAGTACTTCAGACTAGGGGAACGTTAGGACAGCCAACAGGGAAAGCTGCTTTTGCCTGTGCAGGAGCTATGATTATTTCAGCCATTATTCCATTTATTCTTACCAGTCACAGAGAATGGCAACATAATCACCTTGACAGCAGTAGGTTATTCTTGACACAGGGTACTTCTATTAGGAAAAGAAAAATAAACATCGTTGTAAGTTAAGGCCACTTGTGGGCAGAAAATTCACATTCCATTTCCTGTCTTAGCCTTTAAAATTTAGCAGATGTATTAATTTACAGTAATTATACCAGTGTTCGCTGTTTTATGAAGTTTTCCACACCTCTCCCTTCACAGCCATCCAGAGATCAAATGTAAAGGTTTTAGTGAACTACTCTTAACAAACAAATAGATGAAAGAAAGTACACCACCTTCAAATATTCTCTCCTGCAATGCTAATGGCAAAAACATCAACATTAAGCCTGCTCAGCCAGAATATCACACTAGCATCTTAGAGATTATACACACAAGCCATTAGCTGCTGTTATGTTTGTTAAAAAAAAAAAAACAACACAGACAGTGATGCATAGCTAATATCCTTGCTGTGTTGTCTCTGTTTTCAACCTGTGTCTGGGCGAATCCATACTGCTTAATCAAAAACGTGTTCTGAAGAATAAGACAAGACTGCCTGAGGCCATTTTCCTCTTAAAAAAAAAAACAACAAAACAACCTCAAAGCAGAAAAAAAATCCCAAACCCAACAACAAAAACCTCACATCGCACTCCTAATGTAGAAGTTATATATTTTTTGGGGGGGGAAGAATCGGAGAAATACCTTTGCTGCACAAAACATACTACTTGAAATATATAACTACTGAGGCTCCTTGAGTGGGAAGTAAGAACCTGGGAGGAGCAGAGAAACTGCAAGAAGATGCCCTAGGGTGCCTTTTCAAAAGTATCCGTTATGCAATGCCAAAGACAAAACTGCAAAGGCAAAAGGCTGGTTCTCAAGTAGATTTTATAAGGAGCAATAACATCAGCACTTCTGATTAATAAAACCTTCCTACTAGAGAAGTAGTGAGTTATTCGCTTTAGGGCAAGAAAAAGACATCTTCTTGACCCTCTGCTGGCAGAATTCAGATGCATCCTCAGTTCCTCTTTCCTTTTACCCACTTCCAGCCCTCATCTCTTTCCCTAACACCACACTGGTCACTAGACAGAACCTCTGGTTCACCAGGTTAAGCTGGATTTGAGAGTAACCACAGGATTTTACCCTTTGAGCTACCAGCTGATGTATAGACATTGTCAGGCTGCTTGTTTCGGGATTTTACAATCGATGTAGGAAAGGCAAAGCAAGCTGTACAGCTTCCAAACGTTCAAGTCAGCAAGTTTAATACCAGAAGCTAACTGTTTTGTCAACAGTACACAAAGCAAGTACTACAAGATAAACCAACTGCAGGAAAGAAAGTTAATTAATGGTATAAATACAGCTGAAAACCAGGGTTGCACAGTGCAACTCCAGCACATAAGAAAAAATATGAAATCCATTGTGTGATACAATCTCATGGCGGGGAAAGCAAGAACAACGGCATGCACACACTTTTCACTCACATACTCGATTGCCTGTTTGGACAGAAGAGGAGCACTTTATAAAAAACGTTATCAAAAGGATGATATGTTTCAGAGCTCTTGGGAACAGATGGGACTAATCTCTTGCTACTCTGCAGAACTACTAAGCTGTTAGTCTACATTTAGCATTGGGACCCAGGACCCCTCTTTAAGACGGACATAAAAAATGCTTACAGTTCCAAATACCGGGTAGGCTGAGTGGGCTGAATCAGAAAGGTTTTCTGTGGCTAATACATCTAAATGTAGTTATTGCAGCAGGGAGCCATTTACACTGCAGCTGTAGAGTAGAAACGACAGCTCCTATTGTAAACCACCACTGGGTTCTTTAGACATTTAAGGGAACAAACCAAGATATAGATATATACATAAAAAAAACCCCCAAACCTGTGATATTTTTTTCTAATGACAAAGCTCTGCCTCTCTGCCTGTCTCATGACAAACGTGCAGGGCAAGTGCAGCGCTGGGAAGTGCCCACCTACGCAACTGAGGGCTTTATCAGAGAGACAAAGGTTCTGCAAACTTGGAAGTATGCAGCAGCTCTCCCCCACCCTCACTGGGGGGAAGAGAGGAGGAGGCTTTTTTAATTTGAACCAAGTAATTATTCACAGTTGGACAGAGACAAGAAAATGCATCTTCTTTGCAAGCTCTTTCCTTTCCATGTGTGGGCAAGCTAACAATCAACAAAGTGCATGCAAGCCCCAGAGTAGTCTCAAGTTCAAGGACAAGCCTACAAAATCAGTTATAGAAGAGCTACAAGAGCAGTCTGCGATAAACAGATGTTCACTTGATACTCTCTGAACTTACTCAGCATTTATATGACACTGTTATCAGCTTGCCAACACCTAAAAATTAACTTTTGATGTCATCTGTGAGAAGAGGTGACCCTATGAAAAATTAGTGTACTGAAACATTGGGGTAGAGTTGTGCAATTCATGTTCTGGACTTTAAACAAGCTTCTGCTGTCAAGAGGATCAGATGAGGTGAAAGCTCCAAAGCACGAAAAACATTTATATAGCACTACGAAATTGAAGAATTACTCCCATTCTAGTGGGAAAATGAACTGGGGATCTGCAACCCATCAGCTGAAACCAGTGCTACACTGCTCAAAAACACTCCTACATTCCCAAAACAGACATATATTCATCATCTGCCAAGCAAAATAAGCCCACATTTATGTGCTTACATGACCCACCACTACTGATGATTCTGTTATTATTGTGCTTCAAGTCGTGTTTGAAGCTTCAGTGCATTCATAGTGGTTATCAATGGTAAAAATTAAATGCAATGCAAAAGAAAAAAACACTTATATCCCCATCTGATCTTTGATTGCCAGAGTCACTTGCAGACAGCATGCTAGTTACAATCTAAAAAGTGCTGACAAGAGATTGTTCCCTTAAATTCAGACTATAAATGTCACACTAGGTTGTGAAGATGATCTTTGATACACCTGGATACACAACACAACTAAATACTACCACCAGGCGTCATCTCTGGCATTTCTAGCACTATGATGCCAGCAAAACACAAGTCTCCTTTCCCCTTTGGTCCTGCTGGCCAGTGAGACAGTAATTGTTCTGACAGAAGTACATATTTACAGCTGTGTAGCAATACAGCACAAAGGTAGCAATGCACCACATTAAGGTTTACATCTGTCATTTATCTTTCGGTAATCACTGAGACACTGCCTGATCACTGTTCCAAGTACACACAAACTCTGGAAGTCAACTGAGTCTTCTGCACCCTTCAAGCATCATGCAAACTTCGTGTCATTGGAGACAGAGTTTAAGACGCCTGTAACAGCTGGCAGTAAGCAGAATTTTGCAGATTCAAAGAATGCTGAGGCTTCCACAACCACCATTAGGAGACACTAAAACATGCCAATGGGTAGAAGAACAGCAAAACACTGCAGGAACACAGTTTATTAACTGACTTGTTATATTTATTAACTCAGTTAGTGGGTTTTCCCTTTCTCTCATTGTTAACTCATACTGGGCTAAAGAAGTTAAACAGAGATTTCTCAAACAGTCAAAGGGAACCCCAACTTTCTACTGAGAGACTCCATCGGTATACAGAGTATGCTATGGAGGGGTCTTTGTCAGGTGTGTTAGGAGGCAAAGGGAGTATTACTAATCTACATTCAAAAGCATTCGAAGAGAGTTGGAGCTTTTTGCCTTTTTTAAAAAAAAAAAAAATTTAAATTAATTCCTGCTTGCAGCAACAGGTTTTTTTCCTCTAACATTTGTTAGTTTATGCAGTGCTATATTCAAGGCTCATTATACACTTTATTATTTTTGATACATTTGTTTGTATGCAACGGAGTTAGGATTCAGCATGAGATCAAGCACTGTTAATTTACATGCAAGCCATCTTACAAAATGCTAAGCCAGTCTAAGCAACAAGTAGCATTTTTAAAATCAATAGGATTCCCCACTTCACAGCTAGTTGCTTACTAGTCCTCAATGATCCAATAAAGCTAGAAGGCAAAGTATTTTAAAATAAAACCATTCTACCCCGCAAAAGAAATGCCTTGCAACATTACTGCAGACACAGATTCAAAAGCATCAAACTATGCTGTTTCAACAGAGCACTCTTATTAACTACTTTTGAACCCTTTGGTTTTGAAACTCCCTGAGCCACTTATTTCCAGAAGGCTGTAAGTGGCAAAGTAATTTTGTAGGTCTGCCTCAAACGTGATTCTCCATTCCTCACTCAAATCCTGCTGCACCCAGACTACAAGAGGATACCAGCTACGTGGACTTGTCACCTAACTTGGTACACCCTTTTTTTTTTGCTGGTGAAAAAACCCAGCAGTAGCTACTTCAAAGACTTCAAGCACTAGACTCAAGCTGAGATGAGCCAGAGACCTCATGAATGTCTACAAGAGGTCTGTAGCTCAGGCATGCTTAAAGTATATCTTCAAGTTCAGGAGCAGGTTAAACTGTCCATACAGATACTACCCAGAATTTCTGCTATCAGGAATTCTAGGCAAAACCCCCAAGATTTCCAGTATCCAAGCTTTGAATGCTGTGATGCCAGTGGCTACTCTCCTGGGCTTACATAGGGACAGAAAGCTGCATGTTATCACTCCAACACAAAGAACAACTTGCTGATGTCTTCTGCACAGAAACAACCTGTTTCAGGTCTGTCCCTAGAAGCTTGGTCCTTCCGTGGGTAGTGCTCCCAGTTCAGTAACTGGGAATCCCACTCATAAGATCAGGCCAGACCTACATACACAGCAAAGAATCTCTGAGAAATATCCAGGAATGGCTCCCGACTGTTGGGAGAGGCTGCACACAACACACTTCGACTAACCAAAACCACAACAAAACACAAGGGAGGGAAGACAGAACTTTTCAATTCAATTTCAGCCTGGATGTGAATTCCACAGCGATTCTGCCTAACAACCATACATGGCTACACGCTTCTCACTCACCAACTGGGAGACAGCTGTGGTCTTCAGAGAAAGAAATATTTTTTAGAGATTCACATGAAAAACACACCCAGCAGCACGGGTGGTATGATGAACAACTCTTAAATGACTCAACAGATTAGCAGCTGGCTTAATATGATGTACACAGCAGGAAAAAGAACAAGTGCTGTTTTACTGCTAATAGGTCGTATGCCAATTCACATGACAAGAAAGAACAGAACCAGAGATCAAGTACTACCAGAACCACTTCTCACATCAGATTAGCACCCAAATCACAGTAGCACCCCAAAAGTGTACGTATCACACACTCATGAATAGGCTGCAGGATAAGGAGACCTCCTGGGGTATTCAGTTGTCACATGGGACTTGTACATTTTCATTTTGGACACTGCGCAGCTTCAGAACAACCCAAAGGAACAAGCCCAGTGTTTTGACTCCACAAGGCAGTACTATCACAGGTGGCTGGTTACAAACACTACAAAGCTTCTTTCTGCTCAGATAAAATTTCAAGCGTTAAAGGCGCAATTTAATTAGTTTAAAAATGGGTGATTTTTTAGATCTTTCCACTGTTACAGGTTATTTTCTGCCTCAGAGACTTTCCCAAAATCCCAGGCTTTTATAACAGTTTCTAGGTCTCACATAAGTTCCAAACCCACCGAAAGAAAGGAGGCACTCCTCAGAAAATGCAACAAACATGTTTGGGAGTCACAAGGATCAGGAGTGTAGCAAAAGCACTAACACACATGGGCGTACCTGGTCAGGTTTGGTTGTCTCAGGCCCACAAATGCTACTTAGATGACAGCAGTACACTTCTTCCCCGCTTTTGTACTCCCAAAGTCTCAGAGTCGAGTCCTGGACAGACAGAAGTAGACACAAGCCGATTACTAACAGCACCTCAGGCAAAGAGAGGCCTTCAGCTAAATCCCATTTCCCTGAAGAGCTTCCCACAGAAGCTGCTAAACAGTCACTTAGTTAAGACTTCAAATTGCAGATAAAGCATTTTAATGAACATAATTTTTCTCCTCAATTTTAAATTATTCAATCATGCTAACTTGAATTCTCCTTTTGAAGTGGAAATTGGGTAGCTGGAGGAGCGCATTTCAAATCTGTCTCAAATAACACAGTACTACACGTGCCCAGCATTTTAATGGCAATTCTTTTAGGTTGCCCTTCTCTGGCCCCACTCTTGTTATCACCAGAATTCTCATTTGATTTAGTAACCTCCTGGAGAGAAGCTAAACACCTCTCTGGAAAAAGAGAGTCATCAAAGAGCATTTGCTAGGAATGAAATACAGCCGCACGCAGCACTAACACGAGAGCTGCTTAAAGAATTAGAGGAACAAGAGACAAGAGCTTAGGGAAGCAAGAGCAGCAGCTGAAACCAAATACTAAGAATTACTATCATCTTCACATTTTCACAGAAAACTTTGTTTCCTATGCCGTTTTTTTCATCTGGGAAACAAGGAATATCGTTCCCCTTCTTTTAGAGCAACTCCATCTACCCACTTTACCCATCAGTTTAAGAAAAGGACTGAGAGGAGAGAAAGGAGGGAACACTTAATTCTTCAGTCCTCATCCAAGCACTGTGTAGCACTGCACTTCAAACTCTACACAACATGCACTCAACATACTATGAGGACATAGAGACAAGGACATAATTCGGAACAAGTCTCACAGGGGAAAGCATGTGGGAAGGTGAAGAGGGAACAGTTGTCTTATCTTAAGAGCTCTAAAAAAATAAAAATCTGTGAATCTAAGGCCATTAATTCTCAAGACACTCATTATTATGGCAGGCTGACATAATATCCATTTGCTTCAAAGTTGTTAAAATAGTCCAATGATTAAAGTTTGTCTGTGCTGCAAAGCAAGACTTAATGATGAAGAAATACTGAGGACTTTGTGATTTCTCCATCCCAGAGACCTTAATAAGAACCTAGCCTTGCTGTAAACACAGTAAACGGCACTTATACGATCTAACAATAGAATGGCTGAAGAGAAAGCTGAGAAAGGGAAGGAGAGAGGGGGCATGCTGGAAACCACAAGAGATTATTCCAAGTATCCCATGGAACTTGGAGGAAATACAAGCAAATAATGGTTTTAAAAGTCTAAACTTTTCAACAAAAATACTTTTTTGAAGAAATTGCAATACATACCCCAGAAGCTGACAAGAGCAGGTCAGGATAGTTGGGTATTACAAGTATTTTGCTTACAAACCTAAAGGGGAGGTAGTCAAAAGTTGAACTCTTGCGTGACACTGGTCTTTGAACACATACAATAAGAGAACACACCAATTTTAAAAATAATATTATAACAGACAAGCAAACAGATTCACCACAACAAGCCAGTTAAGATGAAGAAAAAGTATGTCTGCAGTACTTAATATAGTATATATACTACACAAACTACCGACCTTCTACTTAATAGAAAAATTATTTCCCCACCTGCATTCAAGGAATTCTACTGACTTCCTCCCAACTGAGAACACTGCCATTTAGACAAAAAAATGCCAATGGAGATAGATTTACTCGGGTACCATGCTCCCCTTTCACAATTCATGTCGCACATTAAAAACATGAATCACCAGATGCTTTTAAACCATAACAGTGATGACTTGGCTTTCAGAGTACCATATCTCTCCCATCCCAGTTGGAGATTACTCAAAAGCAATCTTTAACAATTTTAAAACAAGCATGTGGCAATTTACCACCAGTGTCCACATTCAGCCAGAAACCTTGTTTTTTCAGAAGTATGTAATATTGCTATGTCTACCATGACTTCTCTTTGCTAAGTAATGAGGACCTGATCTTCTGGAGTTCGTGACTACCTGCGAGCTCAGCAACTTAAAATGTAGTGACCTGAGCAGAACATTAGCTGAGAGGTACAGTCTTGCTTTTGAAAACAGGCATAATTTTAAGGCCATTTAAAAAAAGAAAGAGAAAAAAAAATAGAAGGAAGATATCTGCTCACTGTAATATAAACTTTCATGACAAAGCAGAAATGGCGGGTGCAGGCAGGCATAATAGATCCAGAAAGAATCACCATGCACCCCCGTGAAAGAAGAAAATCCACGAGCATAAAACAAGACAATTAGAGCTGCTGTATGTAATCGTTTGCTTATTCATTCCTAATTTAAATGTTGAATTTTTAAAATATATTTCAATCAATTTACACTAAGTGCCTTTCCACTCTGCGGCCACTAATGAACTCTTTGTGCAGACACAATAGCCCCCATTTAAAAGTGTCTTTCTGACCATCAAGTTCTATTCATTAGAAAGTACAACCGTGTACACAGTAGGTGGAAACATCAGACGTGGCTCTTAAATATGCTATAGAGAAACTGATGTGATCAAAGACTACTTAGATCTTTAACATGAGTAGTCTTTCTTTTATATGATGCCAATTCTACACACGTTGGACTACCAAATGATGTTATTAAAATCAGACTGACACTCCAAATTAATCTGTGTCCTAAATGCTCTCTTAAAACATTTTGGTAAGTTTAGATAGGTTGCCACCCATATCTCAGGCTCCCCGGTTGCACCGCCTTTCTTTTAACTCTTGTTTCTGACTTAGCAAGTTGACTGCACTATATGTGCATCACTTTATGGAAAAATGTGCCTGGAATGGTGGCATTATCCCCCCAGTAACTCAGCGGCCAGACAAGCAGAATTAGGTGCATTCTCTGCCCTATGCAGGGTCGTGTCTTCTCTGCTACCTGGTCGCTGTGAACTTCAAAATGTGGCCACTCCAAAAAAATTTGCACAACCGCCCCCCCCCCCCCCACTCAAAAACCCTAACAACTGACAACAAAAACCTCCAAAAAGCCCACAAAGCCACATAGAGGTGGAAGGCAAAAGTGAAGAGACTTTGAAAATATCACAACTCACAGACGTTTTAAGCAGGAAAATGTAGAGGGAAATGTCTTTTAAAAGTCTGTTTGCCAGTTGTGTCTTCTTCATGGGAAACGACTACTGAAAATGGAAAGTACAGTCCCTCCTGTAGGCTGAAAAGGAAGTCCCGATACATTGGCTAGAAGATAACCCCTATTCCTATACCAAAAGGACGACCCATGTCCTAGCAAACCAAAGCACATCTGAATCACATCAGTCTAGCGAGCAGGCTCCTTTGCTGCCTTCCACTCTTCAGATCACTGTAATTATAAGGACCTTCACTTCAGGATTGAGGAGAAATGAAAGGAAGGGAAAGATCATCCTTCCTGTTTTTATGCAGAGTGAACCCTGCACTTTACTAGGCTTTGTAACGCAGCAGAACATCTTTCTAAAGGGATTTCCCCTATGATTCACCTTCCACAGATCCTTTTACTTGCCTAAGTGTTCTTGCCGATAGCAATTGAACCAATCTCAAGAAAAACACCAACTATGAGAAAGGGCTCACTGCAGTCTAATGTCTAGACAGAAAGTGCTCCAACCCTCCTTTTGGTGGTTTTTTTTTTTGTATTACCACAGAACCTACAAGTCCTTTAAAGGTCCCTTCCAACCCAAACCATTTTATATTCTAACATAGACCTAGCTGTTGTTTAACGTGATTTGAGGAGACAGTAATTTCATCCACTGAGGCACAGTGAAGAGCTGCATACAGTAACTTTTCTCCACAACAAACTTACTCTTTGTGTCCCAGACAGTAGGACACAATATTATAAGGAGCCTTTGCCAAGCTGACTCTGATCTTCTCATCTCTGTCTGCAGTTAGGATGTACCGGTCATCAGGACTCAGCGCCTGTTGGTAAAGGGAGAGTTTTAATGCCCAGTAGTTAAATGTTTGCTTTAATACAGTTCTTCATAGCCAGGAGGGGAAAAAAAAAAAACAAAAACAAACCCAACAGTAAAATATCTATTTCTCCTGACTTTGAATGGCAGCTGCAAGCTTTAAGCCATAGCCATGCTTTTCCACTGACAATGGAAGCATAAATCTTTATGACAGTAACTTTCTCACTCACTAAGATAAGCAACATTGACTACCAAGTCCAGTGAAAGCCACTGAGCTCCAACATTACAGGCAGAAGCCCCCATTGCGTCTTAAAAAGAAAGAACTTCCTACATTGAAGAGCTCAACTGACATGACAGACTGGGTGAATTCCCATAGACGTTCCATCAAGTCTTCTGTGACGGTAACACGAAGGCTTTTTGAACACTCACACTCCCAGAATAGATAACCCTTTGGTAAGCTTGTTTCTTTACCAAATTCTGCCAACACAAACTCAGTAGGAAGAAACCCAGACCACGTACTTCACTTACATAAAAGAGAACTCCCAAATCTCAGACAAGAGCAGCAACGAAAGACCCAAACACAAGCAGTAATGCAGGCTTGTACACTAACGTCATGGAGGCACGAACTTACCACATCCAGTAGCAGAGACAAATGACCCAGCTCAAGTTTTCCTTCTGCTTGGGAGTCTGTTATTGAGTAAGAATAAACATCACCAGACTTGTCTGCAACCAGAATCTTATCATCTGCAGCTGTAATAATCAGGGAAGTGCATCTCCTTTTCACCAACCTGAAAGAAAAATGACATAGTTTGAACAGTGCTGGACGGCAGCTTCAGCAAGTCTGGATTCAGACCCAGTTAAACAAACCAAGGGACTGGATGAAAAGCTCTCAGATGCAATATTCTTGAAATGGCAGCAATAAGAATAACGTTAAGGGAGGGTATGGGGCCAAAACAGCGCTTTTGAGACCTTTTAAACGACTAAACTATGTCATAGCAAACACCTGGGGAGGTGGCAGAAAAAAAAGAGAGATCATTAAAGCTGCATGCCTGCATTTTGCTTATGTGCTCTCTCAACTGAGCATTTTGGCTAGGCAGCCTTCCAGAAAGATGGCAGACTAATACAAGTTAAAAATGGCAGAAAATACAAGTTGAACACACAGGAAAGAGAAGACAAGGTAGGAGTTCTACTAGTAAAAGCTGTTTACAGCAACACATCTAAAAACTACGCTGAAACTGTTTCTCCAGTTGCCACTCCATTCTATAAAAGGAAGTCCTCCTTATGAGCTTCAAGGACTCTTTCTCCTTGCAGCTAGAGTCAGAGACACACAGTTGTAGGGTACCTTGTCCAGGCAAAGCCCTAAACTTGAACTCTGACTTTCCCTCATCTTCTGCAAGTATCTTATAGTTCCAGTTGCTAGTGTAGCAGGTAACAGTTCTCTTAACAACTTTTCACGTAAATGTAAGGGACACAGATGTGAGAAAACAAGTTTTAAAAAAGGTTTAATCACTTACTTAGTCTGGAGAATGCTTCTGCAACTTAAAAACTATTGTTATTACTGTTATTCTTTTCTTTTCGTAACATCTCTTTTCCAAACTCCTCTATGACCTGTGTGTTAACACAGGACTGTGGACACTGGGGATCATAGGGAATTGACGTTTCTATTCACCTACTCTGAAATTCAGTGACCATCCAGAGGCAAAAGAACAATATACTGCACTTCAGGTAGGAAGCCAGAAATTCTAAAACTTTTTGGTGACTGTTTAAAGGAACATCATAACAATGGCAAAAGATATAAGACAAGATGCTTACTAACACGTTGCAAGCTCAGGCAGCACAGTTTCAAAACAGGTTACCTTGCCAACAAGGAAAAGTCTTGCTCCAAGTTCATTGTACTGCCTTTGATCTTAAGCACAAAGATTCAAAAGTTCCCTTGTCTGAAACCAGCTGACTACAAAAGCTAGCACCACATGAAGCCTTTTATACAGCTTGCCACAAAACACCAACACAAGTTACACAGCTCAACTTTGGCATTCTTTCGCCCCTATTCCCAGTTTCCTAATAGGAAGTAGTGACGTTCACAAAAAATCCAGCTGTGGTCCTACTTGATCTTTTCACAGAAAACTGAAGCATCAAACAATTAGCCAATAGCATATTATGGGCAAGACATACAGGGCAAGGCAGCATGGAAGACAGAATGCAGAATGAACAGAATTTGACATTTGGGTTTGTTTTTTTTTTTGTGATTGTTTACTCACTACAACATTGGTTAACCCACCAAAGGTCCATCATGCACCCTACACACACAGCCAAGCTGACAGAGACTCAATTTTGTTTTTCAACCAGGGCCTCAGATATGTCAGAGACCACCGGAAGCAGAGACATCACACGTGGAGGTACCTTCTTCGGAAGTCCTTCATGGTCCTCTTTTTTTACAGACAATTGCCACAAGCAGGAGCAGCAGAAAACTTGTAACTGGAGGACCTCTGGTGGACAGTTACAGACTCTTTTCTCAAGAGGATCATACTACAGAAGGGAAACAGTTGGCAGCATGTCTAAAGATAGGCTTTCAGGAGAGTTCATAAACTCCCCAAAACATCTTCTCCTCCAAATCAACAGAAATGGACAGTGTGCTCACTAAATTGCTCAGTATCGCTCTTACAGGCCCAACCTTAAGTGTTCGCTGGCAGCGTGTTAAGTTTCAGTTCTTAAAGATACAAATACCATCTTCCGGAATAAGAAAAGAGATTATCCTTTCCTTGGCCAATGATATAGACATCTGCACTCCCATTCTTGATATGAGGCACACCACACATCACTTGACAAATAGCTTTGAATTCCCAAGAACGTTAAATTTGTTTGAGCAAGTACAAGGAAAAGAAAGAGGAAGCTTAGTGATAACACATGGCAACATCCCAAGCACTATTCTTTTATAACTTTAAATTAATCAGCAATAACTCCATAACGAAGTGCCATGCAACAGCCTGCTTCCTTACCTGACGCTAATACATTCCCAGGAAGGCTTTGTACGGAACAGAATCAGACGTTTGCTGTCATCTGTCAAGGCAAAATAATCTCCTGATGGGGAAAAGGCAAAAGCTAGGATGTCATCACTTCCTTTATCTGTCGGGTTTCCATCCTGTCTAATAGAGAGGAGGGGAACAACAGTTCACAACCTGAATTGCTGAAATCCTTATGAAGAGAAGGTTGTTCTCACACCACCAAGGAGGAGCACGAAAAACAAAGTACAATGCTAAAAGTTTTATTTGTGCTTAAAAATGTTGAACCCACTTGAACATTAATGCAAGGAAAAAAGCCAAGAAAAAGGAAACTGACACAAGGCCTTAGCCTGTATCATTACTCGCCTAAAAAACCTGCTAGGGTTTGTGCTACCACATCTTGATACAAATTTAGGGGAAAACAGTAAAATTGGCTACAGGAAAAACAATGTCCAGAGGCTGAATTTAAACTAAGAAAGATTCTTTCAGTTTTTGAAATCTCATGACTTGGAGAGCAGACCTCAAGGAGAAGCTGTGTACTGGCTCGTGTTTTTATCTAACTGTCTAATAAAAAATATAGCATTTTTCCATGTCTTGACGGAGAACAGTCATACAGAATCACTGATTATACTACTGGTGTTTCTCTAAAAAACAAAAAAGGTACAGTCTTCCCTCTGGAGTGAAAAAGAAACAAACAAACAAAAAAATACATACACATATATCCATCAGGGTTAGCAGAAACCACCTAGCCATCACCTGAGCAAGGAGTTATCCCATGACTTTATTATCTTCACTGCCACATACCCTCAGCAGGAGATGCACCCTCTGGGAAAAGAGCAGATTGCCTCAATCTGCCTACGCAGATTTTTCTCACCCTTTATTTCCTACGGTCGTCTTCTCCGCATTGATGCAATCATACACGAAGAGACTATCATCACTGCAAACGAAGAACAACAGACTAAACCCACTGGAACCAGGACAGCTGTGACCTTAACCACTGACTGTCAACTACTTTGTAACGCGACATTACTTCGCGGTTAGTTGTGCAGCTGACCCCTATCTCGAGAAACGTCGTGTCCCCCCCCCACTCCCACCCCTCCACCCGCGAAACGGGCTCCCAAAGCGCTAAGAAGTACAAGTCCTCGGATTGCACATATATGCCAAAAAAGAGACATCGTCACCTGTTGGCGAAGTAACCGTCATGTTTTACTTTTGTCAGGCTTCGCGTTATTTGTCGCTAGCGTCCACCCTGCCGTTCACGCGCCAGTGACGTACATTTGGCGGTGCATAACCGGGCCACAAAACCGTTAAGACTCTAAAGCGGTATTTCGGTAACAGAAGGCGCACACCACGAACGCCTGAAGCCCCGCGGCCTCCTCCTCCTCCACCGCCGCT